AAAAATTTTTGAATAGGAAAAGTAAATTAAGTGAATGGCTTAGCATTCAGTTGAACTTTTAATGTCTGGAATAGGGAAAGACTACTTATACATTAAAAAGTTATTGGGCCAGGCATGATGGCACACACACCACACCAGAGGCTGAGACAGGAGGGTTGCCGTGAGTTGAACAGTCGCCTGGGCTACATAGTGAGACCCTGTCTCAAAAACAACAACAAAAAGTTATTGGGCAAATACATAAGGATTTTTTAAATTTTTGTTCTAGAAAACAGATGAATGTAAGATTCACAAGTTAAATTTACAGCATGTAAAACCAACAATGACCTGACCCAAGGCAGTCCAGCAAATTAACAACAGAAACAACCAAATAAGAGGATGGGCAAAGAGAAAAGTCATGTTTAGGCAGTTTTCCCAGACACACGTAGCCCGGGCTGGTGTGAAGATGTGCTCAAACTCACTAGTAATCATCGGAATGCCAATGGAAACAACTGAGCTATCATTTTCCACTCCTAAGTCTGGCAAAAACTAGAAAGCTGGGCAATGCCAAGTATGAGCAGGAGACTACAGAAGTAGACCTTCTGGTGAGAATCTAGATGGGCACAGGAATTATGCAGCACAGCATGCTGGTTCTCGGTCAAGTTCATTTCAGGTACATCAGTAACAGAAATCATCCTCCTTGGGTATAGTATAAGTAAGAATATGTGTACAGCCGGGCGTGGTGGTGTACACCTGTAATCCCAGCATGCAGGAGGCTGAGGCAGGAGGATCACTGCAAGTTCGAGGCCAGGCTAGGCTACAAAGTGAATTCAAGGCCAGCCTGGACTACATAGGGAGACCCTGTCTCAAGAAACTAAATAATAATAAGAAGAAGAATATATGTATATATGTAGAGATAGATATAAAAAAAAATTTGTGGTTTTTTTTTTAAGACAAGGTTTCACTATGCAATTCAGGCTGGCCTTGAACTCACTTTGTAGCCTAGTCTGGCCTTTAAATTGCAATGATCCTCCTGCCTCAGCCTCCCACATGCTGTCAACAATATGGGATTACAGGTGTGCACCACCACACCCAGCCTGACATAAACACATTTTTAAATGAAGGTGTCCACTGCAGCATTGTATATGGTGGCTGAGAGATGAAGGCTATTTTGATATTTACCACTAGGACAATTCATAAATGCAGAATGGACGCAACACATGGTACAGAGTCACAGCTACAAGCTAGATATCCATCCAGTTACTAATCAGCATTTTAGAATCATACTGGGCATTGAAAATCAAAAACCTAATAAACATGTAAATTAAATCATACCACACATAAAACAACATGGTATCATTTATAAGGAGACATAATTACATATTTAATATGTTAGAGTCATTGCCCAGAGTCGGGTGGAAAATGAAGATAAATGGAAATTTTTTTTAAAACCTACTGGAACAAGCTGATCTCTTGAGTGTAGATTTCCTCTGTTCTTGTTACTCCGTCCCTCTGTCCCTTCCTTTCCCTTACCCTCCAGCAGACGTTAACTAGAAGACACAGTGAACAAGATTCAGGGTCAGGTGCTGGGGAGGAAATAGGATGATTTCCATGTGGCCTTTGACCTTCCAGGACCTTAGGCAGCAGGATAAGGAGAATGACCAAAATCTGCAGCAGCTTTAACTCTCTGCCAGAGCCCAAAACTCACCAGCGCACTCCCGCTCTGCTGTAAAGTCGACAGGCATATGCTGCTCAGACGTGCTTACCGCCCTTAGGAATAATGCTGACACTCTGAGAGAAGCAGGCTCTGGGACGGCAGCCGGAAGTGCTACATGGCTGTCTCTTTCCTCAGCAGGCTTTTCTCAAAATATTCGGTCTTGGGTGTCAAATGTAGGTACCGGCAGTGAGCAGGAGGAAATCTAAATGGAAAAAGAGGGCCCACTGTAACAGAATGGGGAGTGGCAGGGTCTGGGGCGATCAGAATCCATTGCTTTGCCAACCCTAGGCCGCCGCCCTTCGGCTCTAGCTAATGTTTGCCATGAAAGACGACTGCAATAGTCCTGTGCTTCCATGAGACACTGAAAATTTCAAGTTTGTGCGTGTGTGAAATTGCTTGCTTTAGAATATTTGCAACTACTTCAAATATTTTTAAACCCCAGAGAGAGGAGCGATTCATTTTGTTTTTAACCAGATTTGGTCACTCAGCTCATCATTTGCTGCCTGTAAAACCCACACTCATCACATCTGGGGATTTGGAGCCCAGTGCTATATTTTACATCATTTTTAAATTTTAAAAATTAATTTAAATTTTAATGTGGTAATGGGGATTGAACTCAGGGCCTTCACACTGCACTACAGGCCCAGCCATTTTTATTTTTTATTTTGAGACAGGGTCTTGCTAATTTGCTAAGAGTCCCAAGCTAGGGTCAAACTTGTGACCCTCCTGCCTCAGCCTCCCTGACTGCTATACAGGTGTGTGCCACTATGCCCAGTTTAAGTTTGTAATTTTACATTTTTTGCACATACCCCAAAGAATGAAAGGAGTGATCTGGATAAAATGCAAATTTCTAGCACCTACAGTCAGACAGTAGATTCTGTGTGTGCTCTTTGCCAAACACCATACAGTATGCTTTGATGTATGAAAAGATCACCTAGGCCTTCCGCTGGAGCCCCTGTAACATCTGGTGAAAATGGCACCCACCAGGCACGTGCACTGGAGAACATTAGGAGCCGACATTTATTGCCTGCTATGAAATTATGAGCACTAGAATCTGCTATGTGTTGGTGTTACAGCTTGTGTCTAGATGTCCCCCCAAAGCTTCATGCCACCGTAGGATGGCTTTTCAGAGGTGCCTGAATCTAGAGTGTGTGGTGCTGGGATCAAGGGTGTGTGATGACTACATTAATCCACCGGCTAGGATTTAGCATGTGAGTGCTAACCCACCCTAGGGCGGGGAGCCTGCATGAGGGACAGAAAGAGCCTTGTCTCCCCTCCCTGCTATTTTGTGGGTGCCATGAACTGTTTCTCCTCTGCGATGTCCCTCTGCCATGCCACTCTGCCTTGGAGCCGGCCAGTCATGGACTGAAACCTCTACAAAGTGTGAGATGAATAAACCTCTCCTCCCTTAACTATGGACATCGGGTATTTTGTCTCAGTGATGAAAAAAGCAACTAAGACAGTGGGATTTTCTTATCAGATTGAAAAAGTAGACATAAAGCACTTCCTACGCAAGTCTTAAGAGACTGATTTCTTCCCAAAAGATTGAGCCTCTCAAGCATGCAAAGATGTGCAGTAAACCACAGGACAGTGGTACACGCAATGCCCTGCTTGTAGACTAAGACAAGGCTTGGCAAACGTTTTCTGCCAGGTATAAAATATCTTCAGCTTTGTGGACCATGCCTGGTCTCCATGGAAACCACTCTGCTCAGGAGTTGCAATGTAGCAACAGCAGTGGACCAGGCAGGCGACCCAGGAGCAGGTGCTTGCCAGTAGAACCTATGGACGCCGAAATTTGAATTTCACATCATTTTCATGTCTCACAAAAGGGAATCTCTCTTTTGCTTTTTTTTTTCAACCCCTTAAAAATGTGAAAGCCGTTCTTAGCTCGCTGAGGGTCACACAAAAACAGGCAACAGGCTGGATTTGGCCCATGGGCTGTTGTTCATGTCAACCCCTGAACTAAAACTTTACAAACTCAGATACTGCCTGCTAGGTTACACCTCCCAGCCATTCTCCTGAAGTCGGTACTTATATTCCTATGCATAGTTACTATTTTTTAGCACATGCATCCATATACCTCGACAGTATGTAATACTGATCTGTGTGTTTGAGACTTCATAGAAACTCTTGTGCCCTGGGTGCCCTCCTGCTGCTTTGTTCAGCTCTACTATTATGCCTGCCATGCTATGTGGACCAGTCCTTTTCATTGTTGCATTGTATTCCATTATATGAACGTGCTGCCTGTAGTCGCTCCTTCCCATGGCATTTAGACTGCTGCCTCCAAGTTCTCTTGTTACACACCTCAGACCCTACCCTTCACCATGACCTTGTACTTTGACAATCCTCATTTTCCAGATGATTTGGTAACTTTCACACTGGGTATCAAAACTGGAGCGCCGAATTCATAGCCTTTGGATGACAGACTGTGAATGTAGAAGCATCTGCACCATCGGTCAGGGCACTCACTGTGTTTTAGTAACACGATGGAAACTGATCATCCCCGTCGTGACCTCACAGCCTTTCTCCAAAGACAACTTGAATCAGTATTGAGCATGATCGGTTAGAGCTGAGGCCTTTGAAAACGTGTCTTTAACTAGAAATCACATTTCCTAACCGTGCTAGGTGGGAATTTAGAGAGAGTGGCCGTGGACACGATACACGAGTTGGAAACATTTTCGGTAAAACAAGGAGAAGGACCCAAGGAGACCTGTCCCTCTGCCCTCCCCCGTGCCGTATTATCAGTCCCAGTGTCACGAGCCAGTGCATTCTTTCTTCCAGCCATGGTGGGCTGCGAAGTTTCACCGCCTAGAGGCCCTTGCTAAATACCTCGGCTGCATCCCGCCTCACTCCGCCTGTACAATAGCGCCATGTCTGTATTGCTATCTTAACCATGGTCAGCTCCCTGCTCCTCACAAGCCTCTGCTCTTGGGGGGTCCAAAGCCAAATGCTCCCTCTCCACCCGCCTCTCCTTACCCCTCTGGAAAACCCCCCTAGACCACTGCCTGCAATTCAGATAGCATTTAAGAGATAAAATATAATTCCTCTAAATGGGAAAATCCAGTACGAAGGAGGGGGATATTTTAATCAAGTGGGTGCGCTCTCCAGGGGAAAGCAAGTACCTCATTTCAATTCTTCCTCTCCCTTTGATGAAAAGTTTAGTGAATTTTTTATTATGTGGAATTTATAAGAAGGCTAGGTTTAGGTTATCAGCTTTAACATTTGTACTGCTAGGGAAAGAAATCGGAATCATCAGTAAGCATGCATAATTAATGAATAAATTCTATTTCCCTTTGTCTCCTTGCAGGTACAAGGAAATGCTAGAACTAGTGATCTCACCCAGCCTCACCGTGAACAACGACTGCCTGGGAAAACTGAGGTGGAGCCGTGACGGCGACCTGGTGGGGGCTCTGAGTGACAGAGAAGGTAGGGCTCTGTGGCGAGTTTTGGTGACAGATGGTGGGCCCTGCTTCCCCCGTGAGCCTCAAGAGGGACTGGTGTTTGTCCCTCCTCCTGCCATTTGCATTGCTGCCTTGGAACCAAAACTTTGGCGTGCACCGCTAACAATCTTGTCATCCATTGGGGACGGTGGGCACATTCGTGCCTGAGCTCCCTTTCTTGGTCTCTGGTTCCAAAAGACAAACTCTAACTTTGCCGCAGAGCAGTCTCTGTCCCAGGCCCAGCCTGGGTGTGTCCTGCAGGGTCTCAGGCTCCAGCTCTGTCCTCTGAGCTTTCTTCTGCCATCTCCTCGCCTCAGCTGGCATCTCGTCACAGCGCTTTGATGCTTAAGACAAGAACTCGTCTGCCTTTTGCTTTCAGCTTAGGTTGAAGTCAAGGAAGCAGAGAAGAGCTAAAGCTGTTTTAAAAAGTATTGGCAACTGCTGCAGCCGGACTAGTTTTCACTAGAACAATCCCAGCTATTGTTTGCTCTGCTAGGATCCGTGGGCCTTCCTGGTAGAGCGTGGAGTTAGCAAAGACATTCAGCTATTATCTTTGAGCATTGGCTTAACCCTTTCCTCGGCCGCCCCGAGAGTTGCTGCCCGTGTTCCGAGCCCCCCAGCTGCTCCTCCTTCCCTGCCTGTGTTTGTTGCCAGCTCGAGGGGCACAGGCGCTACAGAACTGTCACGGAAAGCCCGAGAGTTGTGTCTAGTGCGATATATTGCCACAAGGCATTTGCTGTCAGGCAAATCCAGGCTTCGGTGAGTAATTGCTGCCGTCACCAAGACAGTGACATTGCATACTGTCAGCTAGAACATCCCAGGTGAGAGGCCCCCGAGAGGGTCTGGGCTCCTGGAACGGCAGGGGGCACACCCTCACTGTCCTGGCACCTCAGAGCGTCCGTGTAAACTGTCGGTTCTCTTTGAGGGCCTGAGAGGAATCACTAAGCCCGGTTCAGAGACAGTCACCCTTGCTTCCTGGGTACAGGCACAAGTCTCCTAGGACCATCTGTATCCCACCACCAGTGGAGCCAGAAAAGGACACTGGCTGCGGAGCGAGAACTGTCCAGCTCTGAATCCCAGCCCAGGCGAAGTGTGTAACGTTTATAAGCCGGTGTTTCTCGCCTGTCGAATGGGGGCTGAATAAGGACCCGCTCGTAGAGCGCTCCTGGCAAGGATTCAGTGGGGCGGCGGGGTGTGAAGTGCCCGGCCTGCCCATCTTGGAACATGGTAAATGATTAAACCTAGTCCATTGTCCTTCTCCTCTGAATCAAATAACCACAGTGATTGCAAAACCCTGGTAGCTCAGCCGACTCTGGCCCTCCGGCATGCCCTTGCTTGGTTTCGTGGGCTTTTAAAAATCTGGAGTCTTGGTTTCCCTTGCAATGCTGAACACTTCAGCAACACTAGGGCCACCTTCCGCCTGGCTGCTGGTGGTGGAAGCTGAGAGGCAGCCATCCCTTGGAGTCCCTGCTGCTCCATTTTATCCTCGAGTTTTGTGAGCACTTACTTTGTGCCAGGTGTGCTTCAAAGCCGTATCAATGGATGAATCGAAACAGATTCTCTTTCCTCTCCGTCACCAGCAGAACAAACACCTGGCACTTCCTCTGTGCCACGCATTCGTAGATTAACCCATTGAACCCCTGCTGGGACCATTATTATCCCCAGTTACATGTGAAGAAACTGAGGCACAGGGCGTTTAGATATCTTGGTTGAGATGGCACAGATAAATGATAGCCAAGAGTCGAGCCTGGGGAGTCTGACCCCACAGCTCCACGTTCCTAATCACTACACGTACCGTTTCTCATTCAGTCACTGCACCCTCGTTAGACTGGGAGCTCTTTGCACAGTGCAGAAGGTGAGGCGCAGGGTGTCAGTCAGCCAGCTTAGAGTCACACAGGCATCAACGCCAGGAGAGCTGGCCCCAGTCTCCACTTACAAACCAGCTCACAGTCACTTTCCCCTGAGCTCTACGAATCCCTGGGCCAGTGCTGTCCACCTGCCCCAGCAGTGAGATCCAAAACACTCTGCCTGGGGACAAGGACTGTCTTCACCCTGGCCACTGCCCGGGCCACAAGCAAGGTTTGTGGAGGGAGCAGTGGGGTAGAGAGAAGTTGCTCCCAAATTCAGAGCAGGTGGCCGCGGGTGGGTTACACACCCACTTCCTCCTCTGCAGGGGACGTGCCACCCTTGAGAGTGACCCCAAGTGCCAGCTGGGGCTGCTCCCGCTGCCTGGCCTCCGCTCCCCCTTCCTCAGCCAGTGCCCAGTTTCGGTCCTTACTGAGTGGCTTCAGGCTCAGAGGCGGACCCCAGGAGATATGGGCCCCGGCGTCTGCCCTTGGAATTGAGGGGGGAAGCGTGCACCCCGATGCCCTCAGGTGCCTCCCGCTGTGTTCCCACCTCTGCCCGTGACCAAGCCCTCGGGGCTCATTGCCCCTGCGGTAAGCGGGAGCGAGTGTGCGCCGATGTCATCCTGCGGATGCGAGCGCGGAATGAGTTGGCACGTGGAGAAGAAAAGGGTCAGAGTAAGGCCCCACTCCTTACTTACCCCCGGCCTTACTTACCTACTTACCCTTACCTACCCTCGGCCTTCCCTACAGGCTCCCCTCCTCGTCCCTGGGCTCCTCCCAAGCTCACCTCCTCCCCCATGCGCTTTGCTCCCTGCTCACCTTCCCGCTGCTTTAACTGGGAAGCATAATCCGCTCTCTCTCCTGGACCAGCCTTCCCCAGCTCCGCAGGACGGTCCGCTCCTCTTGTCTTCCCTGTTGCAAGCCTCTCTTCCTTCACCCATCCATGTGTTCATTGACTCAGTGTGCGTTTATTCAGCCACATGCCCAGTGCTGCCTCAGTACCGGGGAGACAGCATGGAAAACCCATCTTTACGGAGACTGCCGGAGGGAGCTGGGAGGGCAAAAGGCTGACAGTGGCAATAACAAGGAGGAAGCCAGCTGACTCGCGGGGTGGATGACAATGCAGACTGTGGAGGGAAGCGATGCGGGGAAGGAGGATAAGAATGTGTGGAGAGGGTTACGGTTTTTGCTAGGTTGGCTATAATAGCTGTCACTGGGAAGGCAGCAAAGACCCAAAGGAAGTGAGGGAGGAACTATGTGGTTGTGTGGAGCAAGAGCTTTATGAGTAGAGGCAGCAGCAAGTGCAAAGGCCCTGGGGCAGCTGTGTGCTCAGAGGGCTGGAGGAGTTCGGAGGAGGCTGCTTCGGTAGAGCCACATGCGCAAGGGGACTAATGAGGACACAGGATGTCAAGGAGGTGACCAAGGTCAGGCCATGCAGGCCTTGGTGGGTCCTGGAATGACTTTGGCTTCTCCCTTGAGTGGGAAGGGAGCCATGGGCGGATTCTGAGCAGAAGAGGGGCAATCTCACGTAGGAGGCTGCAGGCTGCAGGATGACAGATTCGCGAGAGTGGGGTGACCATGGAAGAGCGCATGGCAGGAACCCAGGAGAGAGGTGTGGTGGTTGGGTGGAGGTGTGTGGCATGCTGCTCAGCTCCAGGAGCAGAGCCCACAGAACACCCTGCTGCCGCTCCAGCTCTTTGGTTCCCTCCACATCCCTCATCTCCATCAGAGGCAGCTGATTGGTCCCTGGCTGCTTGTTGGCCTGTCCCAATAAAACACCGCGGCCTCTGCAGACAGATAGACTGGCTCACTTTTGTCCCGCGCTGGTGAGAGCGGAGTGCCACACACAGCAGGTCTTAAGAAATGAGCGGATGAGGGTGAGGAAAAGGTGGCTGCAGACCTACTGCGAGTGAACCTGTGCTCTGTGGGTCCCGGCGACTTCACACCTTGAAGCCTTTGCACCGCCTTCCCTCTGCCCAGGGGGCCATTCCTTCCTTTTTTTATTTTTTAAGACAAAATAAATTTTGAATTGCCAGGTAACATAAATGCAGGGCCCTTACAAAAACTTTTACAATATGACCGGATGTCCCTTTACATCGCCAGCTTGGCTTCTCCTCTGCTCCCCAGAATAACCTGTGCCAGGGCTGCGCTATCCAAGGCCTTTTCCGTGCAGTTGCATGTATGTAAATGAATATTTATATAATTTAGGTATGTATATTTATGAATGTATATATATTTACTGTAAACTTCTTAGGATTGCTGGGGAAATTTTGGAACATTCGATACTATGATCTAGTTCTCTCTCGCTCTCTCTTTTCGGGAGTACAGTGCAAGCTGAAGTCTTCATTCAGCCGCTGTGCGGCAGTGAACACTTAGGTTGTTTGTGGGATCCTCAGTGGCGGACGGGGAAGTGGCTTCGCCGGTCATGGACCCCAGAGCATCACTCGCGCTGGGCAAGTGCTCTACCACTGAGCTTCAGCCCGGCCCTTTTCTTAAAAGCCTGAGGCAGTCTCAGTAAGTTGCCCAGGGCAGGATTCAGATGTGTGACTCTCCTGCCTCAGCATGCAGAGTATCTGCAGTTAGAGGTGTGTGTCCGTAATTTTTTTTTTTTTTTTTTGCCTATACAAGCAGTGCCACTGCGGCATACTGCTACACGAGCTGCCCTTGCAGCTGGACACTGCTTCTCCAGGGAAGATCATCAGAGGCCAAAATGCAGCATAGAGGGTGCTTTTCCTGCCACCTTTCTCTTTTCCAAATTCTCACTCACTCACCCTCACTTCTACCGCACAGTGGAGCTTCCTGGGCCCCCCCACAGGGAGACTCGGATGTAGTGTCTAGCTCATTCCCCGGCTCATCCCGTAATGTACTTAACAGCCTGATGCATCTGTTGTGTTTGAGGCCCTGGGAGCTTGGCCAACCTCCAGACAGTCACGCTGCTCCCAGGGGCACCTTGTCGTCTGTGCAAGATCCCTGAACATCATAATCATCCAGGCCACGCTTGCATCCCTGCCTTCGGTTGCTCGTTTCTGCTCCTCTCTGAGCTTCAGTCTCCTCTGCTAATGATGAAGATTATGTTTGCTGCAGGCTTTGTCCAGTAGCTGATTCCCAAATGTCTACCTTGGGCCGCGCCCTGAGGTCA